TTCCACTGGGATGAAAAGAACTGCAAAATGAGGATGTGTTGGATAGAAATAGTAATTTTACCTTGCACCAGGCCTCAGAAAGTGTTGTAAGGGTTCTTATAGGTGCAGAGAGAGTGACATTCTCCCTACACGATGTATCGAATTTATAATCCTCATTTTTAACAGACGTGACTGTGTATTTCATGCATCCCGCACATCTAAACGGACGATCCACGTAAGCAAGGGTGTTGCTACCGGGCAGGAGAAGTCTGGCCATATTTATATACCCCAATTTGTTTTGTATACTGTTGTTTGTCTTTTGGTCTGTTTCGTTTTTTGCCATGGTGTTGTCAGTTTATTTTCGATTTATGAGTTTGAATGTCCCTTTGATATCTTTCGCCTATGTTTTGCCCTTCAGAGGTTGGAAGAAGTTTGAGTTAATGATATATCTCTTTTAGTAGTATTGCCATGATGAAAACTTACTCTGGCAAAACGTCTCCGCTGTAATAAGCAAACATCATAAGCTACATGGGTCAGATGGTATGCCACTTCTCAAGAATGAGAGAAAAAGAGAGAGAAGATACAACAGGGGCAATAAATAATATCAGATTTCAAATGTTTGTAAGTTGATCTCTCGCTAGCAAACACAAATGATTTTCTACCCCAGGAATAGATATTAACCTTAGATGAATGTATTTGACAAGACCGTTCAAAATTTTGGGTCCTCCATGCTTTTCTACTGCGTACTTTATTTTAACTTTTAAGCTTTTTTTTTCGAGCGTCATTTATATGTCTTTTGTAGACGAAACGCGCGTGTGACGTAAAAAAATTTAATCTTGTTATCTTTGACGAGTTTATTTGCAATTATCATACAATGGGAGATAACTCCAACTTTTTTTTTTACATGAAGGAATTGCTCTTTAAGATTGTAAATGTTTGCGGTAGTCTGCCTTTAACGTGAGAGAAAAACACGAAATCAATAACAATTGAAATAACCCAGAGACGAATTTAATGCTAAATTAAAAAAGGTAAACATTATCTATTTATCTGGTGAACTTTTATTTTGTACTAGCTTTCCAGTCGTTTCTCTTGATAATTCCTATCGTCATAGATACCAGTCTTAGTCATGTTAGTTGTCCATTTCAACTATTTTTTACATTTTGTTGATGTAACACTGCTCACATTGGAGGGGATAGTTAAGTCCCATATCTTTAATTCCGTCGTTAGTTTTCCCGTTTGAATTGTTTCACATTTGTCATTTCTGGGTCTTTTATAGCCTGCTATGCAGTATGGGTTTTGCTCATTGCTTTTCCCATGGTGGCCTATAGCTGCTTACTTCTATGTTATTTGGTCTCTGGTGGAGAGTTGTCACATTGGCAATCACACCACAACTTCTTATTTGTATATCGATATGCTGGTCGAAAGCCTATAGTCCATCGGTTGTTGTCTTCCTGATATTGCCTTGCTGAAATAGTGTTACTTAATTCGTAAAAGTCAAAGTGTTACAAGGGTTTTCTGTCCTTTACGTTTTGGAGTTTTGAGAGTTATTTGTTAAATGAGCAGCTAAAAATAAATAATGCAATTGATTGATGTTGTTTGCTTAACGTCCAGTGGCAAATATTCCATACATATTCAGGATAATAACACACTAACAATTAATCAAATAGGTAGGCTCTTCAAAGTTATGCGAACAGGATGATGGGCGGGAAATTTGGACTTCCTAAGCATTTTGTGTATGGTATGTTCGATAAGAGCAAACATATTGCGTTGCTTGCATCTACGGACCCTTCAAAGGGATACAAGGGTATATTTAACATGCACAAAGCTTGGCACAATACATACACGAGGAAATGAATGTAACGTCTCCATTCCGACAGGACGTGGTCACATATTAATGCATTCCAGACAAGCCATCCGGGCTCATCATTACATGAGTATAGCTGCCGTACTGACTCAGTAGTCAAGGTATCCACATTTCTACATTCAGTCAATCCTTAGCGTTAAATAATAATTTTAATAAAAATGATGATAATAATAATTAGTAGAAGTAGTAATTATTACTGTAGAAGTACCGGTTATAGTTTACGATACACGTTATGCCTATTCATAGTGACCAAATAAAACACAAATCATTGAGCAAGCCAATTACTAAAAGTCTTGTATTTGAATGCACCGAAAATCCTTTTCAGTTAAAATACTAAATTAGAAATGTAAACCTTTTATTACAAGGAATCAATACAATGCCGTGAAATACTTGATAAACCAGCAAGGAAACGAATGTTATTGTGATTTAAATAAATTCACTGAGTAAATAAGAGATATAATCATGCTAAATAAATCTATTCCGTTTCAGGTGGATTAAGGGCATACGATACAGTTTTGATCCCATAATGAAATTTTGATGAAAATTTGCAAATAGGCTATTTTTTACCTGCTTAAATCAAATATGTAATAAAAAATATACCTTCATGTGCTACTTTTTGAGTAAAATAAGGTCGAAATTTCAGATATTTACTCAAAATTCGGATTTGTGGACGTATTTTTCCTTCCGACAGAAATGCATTACTTTTTTGTTGTAAGAGATAAACACAAACTGTTTTTTGTAAAATTATTTATAATTTCTCTTCTATATAAGTATCCTATAAATTTATGATTTTTTTTGTTTGGAAATAACTGAAATTTAACAAATGTTCATTAATGTAGAAAAAAACGTCATTTTTTGCTGTATATTTATCAAATTTAAAAAATTGCATTATTGACTTTTTCATGAAAATTGGTACAAATAAACTTCATACGTAATCAAACCGAATGTCATTTTAAAAAAGAGGAGTCCATGAACTCTTTTAAAAGTTAAATCAGTTTGAATGATAAAAATCAGTCGAAAAATGCATCTTTTCCCGATATGTCACAGTTTGACGTCGCGAAAATAACATTTTACGTTAGCAACGTCATTACCTCTCCTGCAACTGTATCGTATGCCCTTAAGATATATATACAGGCAGTCGACAAATACATCGGTATACATGTAGTTTTTTTTTATATACTATCTGGTATTCAGAATATTTTTGTCTTGAAACAGTACCGACTGTACGAAATTCAAACAGGACTAAAGGCAGAAATCGCCTGTGTTGGTGACAACAAACTTTGAGCATCGCTTAGCTATTTCCACCGACGGATGCTGACGGGAATCTGAGAGGCTAAACCAACTTGCACTTAGGGAGCTACCATTAGATTTTGATGGGGGGGCTAGGATGAAATTTGAAAGAAAGGCAGGACAGGAGTTTTGAGTAAAAAAAAGGCAGGATGAGCAACTTGGCAAAAAAAAAAAAGGCAGGATTACAACTTATGTAAAAAAAAGTCAGGATAAACTAATAAAAAAAAAGGCAGGACCGAATAGAGTGAAAAATAAAAAGGCAGGACAGAGATTACAACTAAAAAAAAGGCAGGACAAAATTTTTCATCCTAGCCCCCCCCCCCATAAAAATCAAATGGTAGCTCCCTTACCTAATATATACTAGTAAGTAATATAAAGTATTGTTGATACTAACGTCCAGCGGCAAATTGATATGCATTTTCTGGACGAGAACATGTTAATGTAATATGAATATCAACCCTGCTTTGTACTAGACCGACACGTTGAGTCAGATTTTTAACGTGCTAGTTCACAAAGTAACAGTCCGCAAGAAGACATGTCACATCACCTGGACACATTATTCTGACTCCGAGTCGACCAGTCTTTGCTATTACTCCTTAATGCCGCGTGCTTGGCGGAAAAGCAGCAAATACAACTTTTAAAGTCTTTGGTTTGACCAGACCGGGGTTCAAACGCACGAGCTCCCGCACTTGCGGTGAACAAGCTACCAGGAGACCATCGAGGCGATCGAATTATTGGACAAGCTATGCTTATAAAAAAGAAGATGTGGTATGATTGCAAATGAGACAAATCTCAACAAGAGACGACCAAATGAAATTAACAACTATAGGTCACCGTACGGCCTTCAACAATGAGCAAAGCCCATACCGCACAGTCAGCTATAAAAGGCCCCGAAATGACAATGTAAAACAATTCAAACGAGAAAACTAACGGCCTAATTTATGTACAAAAAATGAACGAAAAACAAATATGTAACACATAAACAAACGACAACCACTGAATTACACGCTCCTGACTTGGGACAGGCACATACATACAGAATTTGGCGGGATTAAACATGTTAGCGGGATCCCAACCCTCCCCCTAACCTGGGACAGTGGTGTAACAGTACAACATAAGAACGAACTATAAAAATCAGTTGAAAGAGGCTTATTACAAATACTACAAATACAAGTGGACGTGGCCGGGTACTTGTACATCCAAACAACAAAAAGACACTAAGTACAGATCTGAGAGTACTCGCAGTTACTGACAGCTAGTTCTAAGCCACTAACAACTAATAAAAAAAATCATGCATCTAAGACTTTAGTCTTATCAATCCATACACATCCAACATCCAATGGATTTAGTGTACAGACGTCATAAACAATCAGAGAAAAACATGACCTTGTGTGTTAGCTTATTTGCGTTCGCTAGTATTATCTTGGGGTGTACTGACGGATATGAATTTTATAAGTTAGAACGAAACTACGGTAAACACCAAAGGGTAGCAATCATTATGATACTAGTATACAAACTATACTTCAATTACGTACACTGTAGTGTGTGTCAAGGTGACACCGTACTCCTTCAACTGTGTATCCCTCAAATAAGAAAAATATTGGTTTGCTTAATCGGGGTGTTATTTTCTTTATTAGTATTTATTACTCAAGATTAAGTCAATATTTTACATTTTATTTTTAAAAGTATACAAAAGACTTATGATAAATAAAGCCGTTAAATGGGTGTGCAATTAAACCCCGTTACACAACAATTGAAAAAAAAAGATTTAGTTAAATCCCATAGTGAAGATTGGTAAAACACAATAGGAGCTAATGAATGAAATAATTGTGTGCCATAGTATATCTTGTGTATTGATGTACATGTTTTAAAATACGATTTATATATGCCATGGACATAATAAATTATCAAAAAGGATCATTCTGAGCGCATGCCAATGTGTATTTAATCTAAAATAGATAACATATTGGAATGTCTCGGACTAGTTGTGGAGCTCATAGTACAAATTGCTATAAAAAATTAATGTGATTATAGAGGAAATTATTAGCAGGTGAGTTAAATATTTAGTTCATTTTTTATCAGAAAAGATTGCTACAATTTATTAGCTGGAGAAATAAAGTTGTGGGGGAGTTTAGATAAAGTTTCATAAGTCAAATATATTTTAAAGCTTAAATTTCTTAAGTTAGGGGTCCTCAGTTTGATTTTCGGGGGTTGGGGGTGGGGGGAGGAGGCAGGATTTTGAAAATGAATAACCTCGCCTGGTAAGAGCTGAAAATGAATTACCTTGCATAAGACAGAATGAATATGAATGTTCTGCAACGCAAAATGCCGGAAACAATAGTGTACAAAGCGCGAACAAAAAATAAACATGCATAACAACAGATCAAACTAAATAGTCAATCCGCAAAAAATCCTCCTCTCGCTCCTCCCTAGAATAGCAAATGGTCGTCCCCTGAAATCTAATTCATTGCTTAAGTTTGATTTACTGTCGCTGGTTCTGTATCGCCGAGCTAGACAGAATGTATTTCTCAAGTATATCTTAGATGTTGATGCACGATTTATTACATGTGTACTGCAAAATGACTAGTTGACAAATTTTAAACTACAGTCCCAATTTCCTCAGGCAGAGTTTACCCTCGACGATTTTTGTCTATATTGTGTGTTCTATCTTTATATATGTCTTCTACTGTTGAAGCACAACTTTAGGCTTCAAAGTGTTTAAATCTAGAAAACACATTATAGCTTAGAAACTACACGAATCACTTATTTATGCAGACATGAAATTAGTTGAAGGGATTTGTTTTGATTGATTGATTGTTTGCTTTACGTCCAGTGGCAAATATGTCGTGCTTGTTCTAGACGATTAGAGATTTGTTACATGTAGCTGCTGTATTCGTCTGTTTGTTTTATTATTGTTCAATTAAGATGCATTACATAAGCGCTTTCACATATCAATAAATTTTGTGGCAAACTATCCTTTTTGTTTAGTCATTTGCTTATATCTTAATATAAATGGAAAGATCTCAAAAAGAAGCATTTTTAAATTGTTTTTGATTTTGATTTTATATTAGATAAGGTTGAAGGTTTAAGACAATTTTCGGGAAATTTAAAATTATTGCTGATATCTGGCAGACAAACTTCTGATCTGAACAAAATTATCATAATGTGGATCTTCGAACTCAATGGTCCATAAAAGGACATTATTTCTACTTCTTTGCCACAGAAAAAGAATCAGCCATGTTTATAGGTTAGTAAGTTGGACCTGCAACACGGCGTCATATAGACATGTTTGTAAATTTTGCTCATTAATTGATCTTTTTTGTGCAGAAAATTCTCTTAATCCTGGGCTTTAAATTCAAATATTCCGTCAATAACACACGCTTTTGGATTACTGTGACATACATGTATTTTCTCTCCAGTTTATATGTTGTATTGATTGTTTGACGCCTAATTATAATGTTATTTAATCTAAATATAATTTAAAAGTATCGAATTTAATGAAATAGATTCTAGTTAGACTATGCTAAGACTTGTTTATGAAAAAAATGTTTATACATATTCCGACTGATTATACAATGACAAGTGAGTTCAATGTACACAAAATATTTCAATTAAACAATTTGCTAGTGTGCCTATCTCATGTCAGTGTTTTTGTTTGTGTGGTTTTGTTTTTATTGAGTATGGAGTTGTTTGAGGATATTCGATAGTCTCTGTGAATGTAAGAATATAATACTGATATAAAAATAAGGAGATGAGGTATGATTGCCAATGAGACAACTATCCACCAAAGTTCAAATAAATGTAAATAGATGTAAGCAATTTTTAGGCAACCGTACGGCCTTCAATAATGAGAAAAACCCATACCGTATAGTCGGCTATAAAAGGTCCCGAAATGAAAAGTATGAAATAATTCAATTGAGAAAACTAACGGCCGAATTTATAACAAAACAATTTACGAAAAACAAATATGACAGACATGAACCAACTAGAGGCTCCTGACTTGGGACAGGCACATAAAGAATGTGGCGGGGTTAAACATGTTTGTAAGCTCTCAATTCTCCCCCTAACATGGGACAGTGGTGTAAAAATGTTGAAAAAAGCTTAACTCATCAGATCGATACAAAGCAGAAAAACATCAAACATAAACACAGACCGGACGTGGTAGGGTATTTATCCGTCCCTCATCCCTATCAACAAAAAGGACAATAAGTACAGATCTGAGAGTACTTTCAGTTACTGACAGCTGGTTCAAAGACAATAACAACTAATAAAAAAATCATGTATCTAAGACTAAAGTATCAATCAGTACACATTCAACATCCAATGGATTTAGTGTAAAGACTTCATTAACAGTTTAGATTGTATCCTTCATTGTTAAGACTCGGACCATTTTATTATTGTTGAAGACAGTACACTGACCTCAACATACCTGTTTGGTTGGGTTGCTGTCTTATGAGCGTACACAATATATCTGAATTTTATCATTATTAGAGTATATTATGTCGTTTATCATCTAGTTTTCTCCAAAATAAACTGAACAACCTCAGAAAAAATTAAGCTGACCTGTTAGAAGTATTTGATCATTCTTTTTATGACCTTTTTTGTCACAAGGCTCCTCACGTATTAAGCCATTTATAAATCTTTTGGTTTGGAGTGTTCCTGGTGAACGTCAACTTCGGACGCACCGAATTTAATCATTATTTATATTTTGCATGCAAATTTCCGTCGTAGCTTTTCGTATTAAATGTCCTCCATTTTTGAGGATAAAAGGCTTTATTCAAAGAAAGGATAGGAAATATAGTTTGGTCGGGTTGTCTCTTTGACACATTTCCCGTTTCCATTCTTCATTCTATGGAATACCAATATCTCAAAGTGATAACACTTTCACTGCTTTTTTTATATCGCGATGACCGTGAGGGCAATCCGATGTATTGCTATCGCCTAGATTTCCATAAGGTAAAATTCGTTTTGGGTTTGTAACCGATCTACAAACATGATAAATACGCGCATATTAACGAGTGCAAAATGACCTTCCTTATCGTTTGTTATAAATACATCTCTTCAATGAATACTAATAAAAAAAATTTTGTTTAGAAAATAAATTAATGATATGAAAATGTTTTGTCGTTAGATATATATATGTATATAAGTAAAAAATCATTTATAATATATATGCACACGTACCGAAAAATTGTGTTAAAGCACGTGGAAGAATATCTCAAGAACGTTTTGCGACAATCCCGGCAAGGACCGGTAACTCTGCATGGAAGATTGTGTTTGCGGGAAAATATAAATGCCTACTCATACCCAATCAAGTGTCCACCATGCACTTGCACTGCACTATTATTAGAATAGTAGAATAGAATGATATACAAATGGATGACAATTATATATTATATACATATAACTGTTATATCAATATAATATATAACAACAAACCAGTGTATACTGATTTGTATCACTACAATATAATAGTTAGTACGGTGAGGTTGAATTTCCTTCATTTATTCATCATCCACGCACGAACTTGTCTCAGAAATAAAAAATCTCTGTACGTTAACCTCAGTTACAGGTATAGAGATGTGATTTTTTTCTGTGACAAGTGCTTTTGACCATCCACAAGAACTTGCGGTCATCCGATGTTCAGTACTTCAGTACTTTGATTTCATTTTATCAGTAACTCGAATGGTTAAAGTCACATGCTAACAGTGTACACAAATTGCTTCAATGTCAAGACGGTCCCTGATGTGTATATATAAAGCCATTGGTGTATTTATGATAATCATTTCAAATGTTATTGAAGAAACATAAGTGATATTTATGAATACATTGGAGAAGTTTTACTCCAAAAGAGCACTTACACGAAGGGTTAAAATTGGCCTTAAGATTATTATATGTTTTTTAATCAAACCAAAATACTAAGCATTTCTCATAGATTTAATTGTAACATTATTATTAATACACCTTTTTGCACCTTATATTATAAATTCTGAAGTTATGACTCCTTAAATAGTATTATTTGTGTTGTATCGACAGTTTTGGTCCCATTTTTCTATAATTTATGACAGATTTTAGCATAATTAACTTCAGCCGCCATTCCTGATCTAGATTTTTTATGTTTCGTATTTTGTAAAAATGTGATGACTTTGGGGCCTATAATTTACTATTACGACGAGATTTATTTTACCTAGCATTATGGAATCACGAAGTTGTTTTCATGATGCTATTTCGTGGATGTGTGTAACCCTCATCTTCTTTTATTCATAAATTGCATAAAAACAGACTTGGCAAGGAAAACTAATGCCATATTTTCCCAGTAACTCAATAACCTAATTAAATCAGTGCTAGACTAATAAAATATATCAGAACGTATGAAATATTAGATGTCCAAATTTGCAGATTTTTAATAAAGAAGATTTTACATTGTTCAATATGCCTTGTATATTATATCAAATATCGCAATACGAGTAAACTTAAGGTACATGGGTTCTTCAATTGGAATCAAATCACAAAAGACCAGATCCTCTTTTGATAAGTATGAATAGAAGTTATGATACTATCTATATTTAAAATGACACAGCACATGACCATTCTTAACTTTAAATACTCTTTATTGTTCTGATTTTTCATATCTTTCTTATACCCTACGTTTTTTGCTAAATAGTATACATGTCTCCATTCTATAATATCAGAATTGACGGATACATGGATTAATATCATGCAAATGATCAAACGACTTGATGTCGTTCGAGTCTAAAGCTAGAAGGTCGTAGTTAATTGTTTGAAGAACTCTAAATCGACTGGACATTAATTATGTTTCTCCGCTATATATTGGATTTATTTGATTAAACTGCTTGAAGTCATAGAAATCTGTGGTAAGCTTCGTCATTTTTTGTCCTTTTTATAATAAAGCGTATGATAGTGATCTAAGTGCATGCGACATGTTTTAATGAGGTTGGTAATAAATTTATTGGAAGGCTTGATACATAAAATGTTTGTGGGTAGCAAAACTAAATGGGCCTCAATAAAACAGCCAATAACATCTTATGT